AAGTGGCTGGCATGGCGTTGACCTGTGTCTAGGCGTGCTACCACAACCCCATGTGTGACATCTGTTATGCGTGTGCATGTCCAAAAGCGCCTGTCGTGCCCTAAGCTGCATCCGCGTATTGCTACAACGCATTTGCCGCGCGGCCCGCTGTTCGATGAATAAGCTGTCGCAGGCCAGCAGCGACAGTTTAGCATGATGCGGAGGATTCAGATCTGGCAAACTGGCTACATTGGAAAGTAACGCGGAGTTCGAAGACGACACAGTGACATAGCAAACATGAATTGCTATAAACTAAGTTTTTACTGCTATCTTGCAGGCTAACTATCCACTCAAAGGCCAAAGCAGCCGGGCTATTTTGAAAAGACCAGTTGCAATTCGTGCGAGGAGTATATTGTACCCTGTAAAGTATTATACTGTCCGGTTTACTGATGCAATTGGTCCATTAACGGTTTGTGATCCGCGTAGCTCGTGTACATGCTTTGATTAAGCCTCCTAACTTATCCTCAATTTCGGAACATATTAGGAACGTGAGAGGGGAGTGATCTTAATCCCCACGATAATCCAGCATATGCGCACTTAATCTAGAACGGTGCTTTAAAAGTCAAGGTTCGAAAGTTCACGTTTTGGCGAAGTATTTAACACCGATGACCGGGCGCCAATGGGTCTTCAATGGGTTTTTATGGACACATTGATATTTATGCCCTAATTGGTTCGGTTGTGGAGAGGAACCAGAGCGTATGTCGTACGACGGGCGCAAAGTACAAGCTTATATGCAGCCGTTTAGACTCATCTTGCCGTTGGAAGTGAGTACGGGAGACAAACAAGTCAATTAAGGTGCAAGACGCCACTGCCCCTAACGCTGTGATAGTTCCCATGGAGCATAATAGAAGACAGCTTAGTCACCGGCGCATGGACGTTCGCCTATCGGTTACGGAACTCACTCGTCCCGTTCTGCCTTGGAGCTCTCTTTTGAGCTCTGCCGGCAGTCACACAGTGGCTAGATGAACAATGCCTACAAAGACAAGTGAGACTAGAATGATCATTTCTGGTTTATTCGCTGTCATCAGCCAGACATACCCAGACGCTAGGGGCTGCATCACCACAGCTCAGTCAGATAAACATCCCGCCGCGAAGTTAAGACCAACCTTCGGCTGCCATCTCACTGTAAATGTCCTGTAGCTCCTTTTCTTAATCAGTCCCCTACAGCCTATCCCGAGTTCATCGAGAAGTACTTGAAACAGTTAGGCAGAAACTCCCCGAGGCGATTTTCGAACAAGGCGATCATGCGGACTGTCAGTCAGCAGTCCACTCCTTCTTCATGGAATCCCCTGCCTTAGTATGGTATCTTGTTTATTTAACCTGATGTCAGAATGCGCAACTGGCGCCGTGCACCAAATCACATTATTTGTCTCACACTTCTCAACCTATTCTGTCTTCATGGCGGACTAATGGCCCGTCTTCAGTGAGTGCACGTTCGGAATTTTCCAAATCCGGCAACTTTGCTCGAGTGCATGCCAAGTTTGCAGAACTACTGCGGGCTGATAAGTGCTAGTTTCGGGGAGGCAACTCGGACGAGAGTCGACGCTTGCGTTGCCAGTACTGTGAACTATAAGTTGGTTTTTGTTTTATGGTGACATCCATTTCGTTACTCTTAAGCACACACATATCGTATAAACACTGGCATTTCTGAAATAACTTGCACCATTTCGCAGCGACTAATCTCCTCCGAGAGTGCATGCCTCAGTTTTTCGAAGTACTGTTTGAGTTATTGACCAAAAGCAACTGCCATCCCTGGTTTCAAATGGATACAAGTATAAAAATGCTGGGCTCTGCCTGGCGAAACGACGTGTTGTTCTAGCAGGCGCACAATGGAAGGCGGTTTAAATTCAGTGAGTCTAGTCGGTCTTCAGTCTCTTAAAACTGAGCTGTCATAAGGAGATGCTTACTCTGTGTGAAACGCATTTTTGAGTTTCAGTTTAGGCTTGTGGAAGTCACCTCTGCAGTAAACAGAAAACCCGTCACCCACACTAAGGTGTGCGGGATGAACAATCGAACTTTACTCTTTTACTGCTGACATTGGACTGCTCCAATTTTAGAGCTGTTTCAAGTGGTGACCCAGCTTGCTAATCTTCCTTGATAACCGGCA